AAACTCTCGCATTAAATAGGCAAAAAATCACGAGACCGGAAGCCGAAAACCGTTCGGAGAAATAAAGATCGGCACTATTTCTCCGAACGTTCGGAGAAATAGTCACTTCGAATTTATAATTTGATGTCTCATTTTTTTTCTCAACGATTCAATATCATTGACATTAGGCTAGGCTTGATATTTTCTTGAAAACAATTTGCGATGGTTTTATAGTGCATTCAGAAAAAAACCCACGACAGATTTAGGCCTTAGAGATCTAGAATCTAGAATCTTGACATGGTGACATGTGCACCCTGCCTGCGCACGTTTGGCAAGCATTGGTGGGGTTCTGTACAGAGGGAACCTGCCTTCTTGTATGTTCCAGTTCATTGATGCATCGACACATTCCCAGTAAACAAATTACAAACAATTACAATGAAATTATTAATTATTACTCACCCCCTAAGACAAATGATCCAACAGTTGAGATGAAGCCTGACAAGAAAGAGTTGAATGGAAAGGTGCCCACCAGACAGCAGTATACGAATTGGAAAACACCCGTAAAGAACACGTATACCAGGTAAGCATCCACTATCTTCAGCTTTTTTGGAGTGGACTGCATGTACTCATCGTAAAATTTTACGAGAACATTGGATAATTTTTCGGGCATTTTGCTGGATGTGTGGTGAAGAGTTTGCCGCAAGCCGGTGTATAGGTTCAGTCACTCTGTACGTGGCAGTCGACCATAACACAAGAGAGCAAGATATAGTGGATGGCCAGATTTTACTGCTGTATCCAGCAGTTTCCAAGTTTTCTCACGCAACAAATTCAGATTAGGTGAAAAGTAAAAGCAAATGAAACTCTTGGTGATTCAACTTGTATTGGTTGAAAACCAAATTTTGTCATCAAAACTAGGCTAGATCTATATGGAATTATCTAATACTGAATATTATGATAAAATTCACAAGGAAAAGTGAGAAATTTAATTGCCATGATTTGTCAAATGTGTCAGCTGGTCTTTCTCTTCGAAAAACAATGATGATAAAAGAGCAAATGTTTGCTAGGCTTAGAGCAATAATAGTCTTATAAAGCTATCGATGTGAAATATATAGCCTAGATCTATATATATATATATATATATATATATATATATATATATATATACAATATATATGTACTTTAATATTATTATTTTTATAAGCGCTGGGTCTCTGACAAACAACAGGCAGGAGCACTAAATCTGGAAAACCGTAAGTGGAAACTTCCATTATTGGCTTGACGCGCAACCACGTGACTGCCTCTGGTGTACGAGCTGATCACGTGACGTAAAATTTCGCCATCTTGACCGTTCACGAAGGCAGCGGTCTTTTGAACTTATGACGTATTGATTGAAATGACACCTTGTATCTGTCATCTACCTAATGAGTCGTTCCATGGTAATGTAAAAAATATCTCATTCTTGTATATTTATGTATTCATCCTGCCTATCAATGTATTTGTGGGACGTTTTTCATGTATTTTCAACGCTGTATGTCAAGCCTCATATCGTCACCACGCACAGACGTTGCATAGTAACAGTTTACTTTCTGCATCAAGATAGATAATCTTGATCTTAATTTTACATAGAATCCACATTTTGTACAATTGAAGTAGATTATAGATCTATGTGGTATATATTTGAATTTGTTATAAATTTTTTTGGCCGTGCACCTTTCTTATTCCTTCTGTAGATGGACTGGTTCTTCTGCATGGCATGGCATGATTGGACGATTGGTGAGGCAATTTTTGTTCCAGTTTCCAGTTCAGGTGCCAGACCTTGGTCGCTTGGAGACTTGGTGGATGGAATACATTGCCAATACTACCAGAAACTTTATTTATTTCTGTAGTTTGATCCTTCTTCTTCTTCATGTACTGCTACCAGTGTTAGTCTGGGTCAAGCTTTGCCTTTTACACTTTCTCAAGATGATAAGAAGCGGAGCAATATCTCTGACCCCCCTCCATAATTTTTCTACACAAAAGTTCTCCCCACTCAGTGTGGGGGGGGGGGGGTATGATATAATGTGTCACGGCATGCTGAATGTGGGCACTTGTCAACTTTTGGGCTCGTGGAGATATTGGTATCATTTAGTTTGCTCATTTGTCTTGCTTTTGATTTTTTAAAAATATATATCCCATCACTTAAATAGAAGGCTGTCGTTATTCTAACCCTGGATGAGAATAGTATATTTTGTCCATTTTATTCTCACCCCATGGGACAATTTTGGTTAGAATTGCAAACATAAATACACTTTATTACACCAATACAGAACAGTTTCACAAACATGGTGTCTTGCTCAGTGACCACCAATCCAAACCCCGTGCAACCGACACTTGGGTGACCTACTTTGAGTCTGAACTTACTGCTCACTCAGCTGCTCGAGTCCCCAGTTGGACTGGATTTATTTAAATGTATGCGATAAGTTTTTATGTAATTCAGCCATTTATTTTTAATGACATCCCTGTATTTGTGTGGGGTTTTATTGTGATAGAAGTTTTGCTTTTCTCTTTCTGTTTTCACTACAAACAAAATAAAATGTCTTCAAGAAATGAGCTCTTCCACCCTTTGCTTATTATCTCAACAAAAGCTATGGTCCGTGGTCTTTAAGTTGGAGACAAGATAATTTTGCAGCCTCAGACTTTTCCAACCTTGATAGAAGTAATGAAGGAGTTGAGACCCAGCAGGTAATAAAGTACTTCCATAGATGTTTACTGAAGGTAAAAAGTGGGTAAAATGCTGATGGTTCATTTTGAAATATTTTAAACTTAAAATAATACTTTTTTTGTTTTATTTATTTATTGTGGTGAATTTGCTATCTTCTGGTTTTGTCTGACTTCCACAGAATGTCGTGTTCCTTAGGTTCCAGAATGACGCACATTCACCAAGACCAGTCTTGTCATCCGGACTTGAACTATGACCTCAACAGTGCTAAAGACTCTGTGATGAGCGCCACCGGTCAGAGTCATGATTTACACACCATGGAGGTAGACTTTGTGTCCAGAGATGCCCTGTGTTGTGGCGAGTTGCATGATGCTGAGACCACCGAGGAGACCGTCACTTCGGAGCTCAGTCGTGGTGAGTGTGGGGATTTAACCGATGGACACGGCAAACCTGTTGTGATGGAAATGGAACAGAGTCGTGAAAATGTCATCGTTGTTCAGGGTGGAAATGATCTGGTCCTAGAAGGTGCTGATTCGTCTTTATTGAAGTGTGTAAAGTCGTTACTAGCTGGCGGCGGAGGGAACTCGTTAATGATAGTGACCAAAGACGGAGTACACAAAGAAGTGAGCTTATCGTCTGACGTGCATATAAATGAAATTTTGCCAGCAATGGAGTCAAAGGAACTTTTATCCTACCCAGTGAACTTACCTTCCTCACAAGATCCTCATGTTGTCGTCCCCTCCACGTCCTTGACCTCACCTGTTATCTCCACCGTGCCCAGTGCCCGTACAGCACCTGTCCCGTCCAGCGCAGTTCTTGAATCAAAAGGTCACACCAACAAATCATCAAGTCAATCTTTTCAACACAACAAACAAATCAAAACCACCACCCAGCCTGTAATGAACTCTCCAGAAAGAAGCATCTCCACGCGATCATCAGCCGCTGCCTCCAGTGTTGTACCGACGGCTGCCCATGGGGTGGGGAAAAGCCACAAGAATCTCCAAGCTAGTCCAGCAGTCCCTCAGACAGGAAGTGCACTAAGTGAGCCGACGGTGAAGACGTCAGGCCTAGACACTCACCGGTCTCCCGCTGCCCAGCAGCTCCTCACCATTGCCAAGAAAATGATGGAGGAGAAAGCTCTAGTGAAACCGTTGTCCTCTGTGGAAGAAACGGGAGAATCTTCATCTTCTCTCGGTGCCTCTGATGTGAAATCCACTTCGTGTTCTGATTCCATCATCACCATGTATCTGTCTTCCCCTGATGAATTAAAGGATAAGCTGGAGAAACTCAAGACAAATTCTCCCGTGATTGTCATGCAAGCCGGTGAAGACTTGTTGGTGGGTAAGAAGGAAGTCTTGGACAAGGATCATTGTTCTGACAATTCTGAGGAAACAGTTCCGTCGGGGAAGCAGTCCAGCGGTAACAGCAGCTCAGAGAGTCTTGTGGCAGCTCTGTCGTCGCTGTCGTCCAGCCCGGTGGTGTACCGCTGCGTGGAGTGTGGCTACTCCAGCCACAACAAGCACTACTACAAGCAGCACGTGGATCTGGTGCACAACGCCGACCGCCCCTACAAGTGCCCGCACTGCGACTACGCCGGGAAACGAAGACATGCCTTGTTGGAGCACATGGTTGTCCACTCGAACCAGAGGCCGTTCACCTGTGACCACTGCAACGCCAGCTTCAGGAAGAAGGTAAGGACAGTTGTCTTTCTTGTTATGCTCAAGCGATTTTAAAAAAAAATTATCTTCAGCTTAGTTCATGGCATTATAGTATTTATCAGGAATGAGCAGTAAATTCAATTCCTTAATAAGTAGTAAAAAGTGTAGACTATGGCCGTGTACTTTTCTTCCAGCCGTAGAGCTCTATGAAAGTTACAATTTGTCAGCCTTTTTTCTGTGATGCCGTTTAAAGCCCATGTTCCTTTTGCACAAGTAATGCTGCCTTTAAAAATAGAAGGTTGTTTCACGTCAAAGTAAAATGGGCAATTCTCATTATTAATTATATCGGAATCTATTTCCTGTCTGGTTGAACTAGCAGGTGGGAAGTTCATCCTTGTCCCACGGGGAATAGATTTCATCATTCCTCTTTTTCATCCTTTCTACAATACAATACAGTAAGAAGTATAGTATACTCTTTTCCTGTAGAAATAGTTCACCTATTATGTGACCGGTATAGAAATTAATTAGAAAAAGGTCCTGTTTTATTTTGTTTCTTTTGAAAAGAAGTGTTTTATAAATCATAAATTTCATATTTCTAGTGCACGGCTGCTTCCAAAGATTCTAGTACTTTGACCTCATTCAGTTCTTTTCTGTGGATGCTCAGCTCATTTTTCCTTTCAGTTAGTGGATCATCGTTTGTCTTTATACTCAAAAGTTGTTACGTCCACAAGGGGAGATAAATCCATTATTACATGTATTGCTCATAACATCTAAATAAGAAGAATGAGTTTCTGGGTTTTTTAAAATTTCCAGCCTTGACTTTAGCTCTTAAGTTTTATCGATCTGCTCCCTGATTTACAAAAAAAACCTAAATCTTTCCAGTACATAGTACATGTGTCAAGAAATGGAACATCAAGTGTGTTGCAGCTCTACGAATGACTTCCAACCTATGATTTCTTTATTATTGTATCGTGGCAAAACATTCTGTCATGACAGGGAAAAAAAGGACAACTTTTTGGATAATGATATGAACTTCTCTCTGTAATTGTTGCTTATTTTGGTCTCGCTGTTCTCGTGTTTTTTTTATGTTCTTGTTTTGGTTGTCCTCCATTTTGGTACATTGATCAAATTCTGAACAGCGAACACTGGATGACAAAAGTGTTCTTGTTGCCTTGTAAGAAATATATCTACCAAACCTTGATGAATAGAACATCTTGGACAGTACAGATGGAAGAAGAGGAAAGGATTGAATTCAAAAATTGTTGTCGTTCTTCTTGTCCTTCTTGCTGTATTTTTTCTCTCTTCCATGTACTGATCTGGATGGTGGACCAAATATTCCGGGGGTTTTTTATGTATACCCCTGAACCTCTTCTAAAGGCAACTTTTCAAGACAGTTGCCTGTAGAAACAATTTCTTCCCACTTCCTCACCATGATCTATTGGTCTCTCCCCCCAGGGTCATCTGACAAATCACGTGAAGCTTCACACAAGCCAGCGCTTGGTCCACTGCGGAGTTTGTAACATCCAGCTGCCGGACTCGGAGGCCTTTGAGGCTCACCTCCGCAAGATCCACAACACAGACAAGCTGTACAAGTGTAAGCTGTGCGACCACACCGTGGTGGACCGGGAGGCCATGCTGAACCACCTGCAGTCTCACAACCAAGCCATCGTCTACTCTTGCCCCAAATGCCCGAATTTGTATAATGATGAGGAAAGTCTTGTAGCTCACATGAAATCTTGTCATGAATTTGTGTTTGTTGACGGCTCTTCCTCTGTGAAAGCAGCGTCCACGGCCGATGTCAACGTTGTACAGCCAGAAGGGGTTGTTGCAGAAAGCCAGCCTGCCAACATCATGTGTTCTGAGTGTGGTTTTGTGTGTTCTAAAGCTGCGGCTATGAAGAAACATATGTGGGTGCATATCAAGAAGGAGTCCGGTGGTGCCTCGGGGCCCCCAGACAAACAGGCAAGCGGTCCGGCAGAGTGTGGGGCCACGTTAGGCGTTCTCAAAATGAACGTTAACAAAGGTCAAAAGTCGTTGCCTGAGAACGTGACCTACCAGTGCTCCAGCTGCTCCTTCTCTTCTAGTGACAATTCTGTGTTCATCAAGCACATGCTTGCTCATAAAACTCAGAACAAGCAGCAAAATATCACCCTTGCAGCATTAGTGAAGAACCCAAGAAGTGTGGCGGGCTTTGAGAACGTGAGACGGCCGACGACTTCAAATCCTTCAATCCAGCAGGAGCAGCCGCAAGCTGCCCAGTCTGTCCCAGAGGTCAAGTATTCCGGGGGCACAAACGTGCCGTTCGTCTACGACAAGTCAGCCGGGAGGTACCGGTGTGTCATCTGTGGCTATCACTGCGAGTTTCAGCGCACCATCAAGGCCCACATCTGGAAGCACTCGGGACACCAGAACATCCAGTACCCGGTGTTTGAGCCCTCTGGGAAGACGACGGTCAGTCCTGCTGTGTCCGGGGTGAAGGGAGAGAGGAAGGAGGAGGCTCCTCAATGGCAGCAGACGTCGACCGCAGGGAGCCTGGACACTGGGAGATCCACCGGGGCCCACAACTCCAGCGTCAAAACTGAGGCAGGGCTTGTCATTCAGCTGTTGCCTGTAGACGCAAGTTCTACCTGTTTCTTGAAAAACTCCAGTCAGGTCAACGCTAGTTCCCTGAATAGTTCTACTCAGTCACAGACTTGTGCTTCAACGGAGAAGTTGCCTGAAGCCTTAGCGTTTGCTGAAGTGGACAGTGTGCCAAGCAGCGATTCCCTGTCCTCTGTAGACAGCAAGGCTTTGGTGAAGCTCGACGTGGTGGTGGGAGAGAAACCTCAGGCCTCCGCCACACAGGCGGGCGGGGGTGTGGCTGGTGAGCGAGGGAACATTGCTGGTGGCGGGGGTGAGCGGGGGAACGTTGCTGGTGGCGGGGGTGAGCAGGGGAACATTGCTGGTGGCGAGAGTGAGCAGAGGAACATTGCTGGTGGCGAGAGTGAGCGGGGGAACGTTGCTGGTGAAGGCTGCACGGAGCCAGGGGTTGTCGTAGAGATTGTCGACTCTGTGCCGTCTAGTCTGGGATTGACTGGAATGAAAAGCCAGCAGGGGAGTCCTCGAGTCCTTGACCTTGACGGCAGTGGGAGTGAAGCAACATTGTTGAAAAGCTTTCAGACATACTCACAAAACAAAAGGTTGGCAACAAATGCTGGAACAGAGGGAAAAGTGGAGGCTTTTGATGAAGTGCAGCCTGGGGCAAATCCCCAAAGAAAGAAGGCGTCTGTGAAGCAGGAGGAGTCTGGTGCAAAGGTCGGGCTGGAGCCGGCCGTCAGACTGAGGTGCCCGTCCTGTGACTGCGTCTTGATGAACAAAGAAGCACTGCGCTCCCATCTCCTCAGCTGTCAGAGTGTTTTTGACAGAGACAACGGTCAAGCTACTTTGTCTGTCGCCCAGAAAGATGAGGCCTCGTCCAGCAAACATCTGAGTGACCATGATGACACAGACACGGTGCCCACGGAGGACAGCGACGCCACAGAGTCGTCTGACGAACAGACGGGCCCCGGGGAGGGCGGAGCCTCGGGGAGTCAGCAAAAGACGGGGATCTGTTCCTCCTTGCTGGCCGTGATTGAACAGCTGCGAGAGCGAAGTCAGTCGGAGAGTGAGGATGCCAAGACCACCAGCCACCTGCACAAAGGGGGGAGAAGACGGAACCGCCAATCTGGAGACACCAGCCCTCTGACAGCTGATGATTTCCAGAACATTGAGAAAATCAGGGAGAACGGCAGTGACAAATTTCGGTGCAGTTTGTGCCATTACACCAGTCAGAGGATTTGTAATATGAAGCTTCACATGAAGACACATCGGCAAAAGAAACCATCCGAGTGTTCTCTCTGTGACTTTTCTTCTACGTCCTCGGAGGCGCTGCAAGAGCACATGCTCAAACACTGCAAAGTTCGCACTTACGCCTGCAAGTTTTGTCCTCAAAGTTTCAACCACAAAAGTACGTTGAGAGCCCATCTGAGGGCCCACAAGGACCATGAGCCTTTCCTGTGTGCCTACTGTGTTTTTGAGACCAGCAACCCGCTGGAGTACCGGGAACACATGCAGGTACACTCTGGCTGCTCGTCCCGGCTCCGCTGTCCTCTCTGTGATAACATATTTGGCAACAAGGAAGAGCTGACAAGTCACCTTCTCAAGTGTAAAGGCTCCCGCAAGAAAAGTGAGGTCTCCGAAGATGTTACAGCAACTCAGCAGAAGGAGAAAGAAGTTGTGGAGAAGGTTCAGTCCGAGGTCGGATTGCCCGCAGGGACGACGGCGATGGCAACGACAGCTCCTCCGACCCAGCACATGTGCGTGGTGAGTGGCTGCTCCTTCACCAGCTCCAACCTGAAAGAGCTGCAGGACCACCTGTCTGTCCACTGCAACCCCTCCCTGCTGGTGTGCAACCTGTGTGACTTCAAGGCCCTGCACAGCCGCAGCCTCAAGTCCCACATGAAGCGTCACGCCAACGACCAGCGCTACGTGCAGCAGCCCCTGGAGCAGTACAAGTGTAACCTGTGTGGCTACGTGTGCCACCACCTCCCCTCCCTCAAGTCACACATGTGGCGCCACGCCAGCGACCAGAGCTACAGCTACGAGTTCACCAACGACGTCATCAACGCCGCCATCGACCACGACACGCGCGTCGACTCAGACAGCACCGAGGTGGACGACCCTGAACTTCTGGACCGCGTCATCAACTCTGAGCGCAAGATTCTGGAGGGGGAGCTCACCAAGTGCAGCAGGGGCGACGGACAGCGGCCGATCTGCTGGGTGACCTTCCGCTGCTGTAGCTGCGGTTTTGAAACCATCAACAAGGCAAAGTTGAACATTCACATGCGCTCCCACTCCGACCTGATACAGCAGGCTCTGGATGTCCCCAGGAAGTCGACGGGGCCAGGCAAACCTGGCACCACTCCAGGTCTCCTTGTCAAAACAGGGGAGAAGCGAGCGCTGACAGAAACAGCAAATACTTCTCCGTACGTGTACGTGAAGGTGAGGAAAACCTGAGGGTGACCGTGTCCTGGTCGTGATGGGGTAGGAAGAGATTGGTGGCTTTTACTTTAGAAAGCATTTTCTGTATACCGGTATATCGTGACTTGGCTTCAGAATGATCTCAAGTCACATGACATGACTGGACTGTCAAATAAACCATTGTACTTGGTGTGTTTCCCACACCTGACTGTCAAATAAACCATTGTGCTTGGTGTGAGTTCGCCACGCCCACTATAAATCAAATGTGAGAGCCTGATGTCTACCCTCTACTGTGTTCCTGCAGGGAGAGATTTGTCATGTTAAATAAGACTCCTCTTCTCTTGTACAAATATACCTCATTGTTGTCCTGAGGTTCTTGTATATTTTGAAATGGTGTATTATATTGTGTGCATAATTTTTGAAGTTCAACTGAGTCCATAAATGTAGGAATCTTGTTGAATAAGTAGAATGTATACATAGAGATCTCTATTTGTGCCCAATTGGGATCATTTTAAGTTGTAGAAAAACTAAACCATCTTAAGATAAAGAAAACAGACTGGATATACATCCAGCTGAAACATACGAACAGCCTTGCCATGGCTTGAGAAAGCCTCTATGAGATGTCAATTGATGTTGGATAGTTTATTGAGCCTAGCTGGAACAAGTCAGACATTCATTTCTCTATTGCATAACCTGAGAACTTGTACGTCTCAACGGTTTCTTTTTCTGAGCCTGTCAGGATCCACAGTTTTCAGGTGTGTACCAAACTTCCTCTCTAGAACTCGATAATAAGATAGAACAGTCAAATGTCATATGGTCAGTAGAGATTGTCTATCCTGGGCTCAGTTCTAGTTCTGTTCAATGATTTGTGCAGTCGTGTGGTAGGATTGCTCTTGTGTGTGCTTACTTTAACTGGGAACTGCTCTAGAGTTTACAATTTGGGGGGGGGGGGCAATTTATTTATTTGTTTTGTTTTGTCGCCCTTAAAATGTCCTATTTTGTGTATTTTCTGTTGCAGGACATTGTCAGGAGGAATGCTATTGTTTTTCTATGTGTGCTTTTCTTGTATGTTCATAATTTATCATTCACGATACTGGAAGAACTCAGGCGCTCATCAAATTTTGGGCATAAGGAGTTATTTATATAATCTTAAAGCCTGCTCATTTACCTTACTTTTGATAGGGGAAAATAGCCATTTATCGTGAATAGAAATCAAGACATTTGTGGTTGGAGGTGGGTTTGCCTGGTTTCAGAAGCAAAATTCGCAAGAAAATGTCCGTCAAAGTTTGGTCACTTCAAAGCTCCAGTGTCATTTAATTGAAAACTGGAAATAAAAAATGTTTGTGCTTTTGATCAACTATTTTAATTGAAATCCACACAGACATTTGTGTTTTCGGTGGACATAGATGGTGTTGAGCCGTTACAAAATTCTAGAAAAATTGCTGTATGGGCTGAAGAATGTCATTGTTTGGAGGAGCGCCCGAGGTCAGCACAATGCCATACAGAAATATTATATATATAATCTCTCTCTATATATCTACATCTCTCTATATATATCTACATCTATCTCTGTTCTAAGGTCAGCTCACTGTTCCCTGTTGTCCTGTTCTAAGGTCAGCTCACTGTTCCCTGTTGTCCTGTGCATGACAGACAGCTCTCTGTACCCTGTTGTCCTGTACATGACAGACAGCTCACTGTTCCCTGTTGTCCTGTACATGACAGACAGCTCACTGTTCCCTGTTGTCCTGTTCTTGACAGACAGCTGTTGTTAATTTTCTTTACTGTGGTTAAACAAAGGAGCTTTGAACTTTTTGTACATGGGAAAACTATTGTCTTTTGAACTTACTGGATTCACAATCTAAGGAAAATGATCTGTAAAGGATATGAAAATGAAAGTTTTTAACTCCATACATATGCACAACATAAGATTTCCTCAATGGTCTCTTCAAAACATTGCCATGGGAGTCTTCCCTCTGTTTGTCCGTCAACACAGACCCC